TTTTACCTTTAATTTGAAGAGAGAGATCTCTAAACAGCTTTTTGCTCTTTTGCAAACACTGCAATCTTTTTATTAAGAGTAAGCTGTAACTTTTTTTCCCCAGGGAAAATATTGTTGGTTCATATTTGTCTTTTTTAATTTCTTCATGTACAGAAAGAGATTCTATTTCAGTTTTCTGATCAGTTTCAAAACGATGGATGAGATTCACATTTACTTAGTTGGGAAGTTTTGGGACTCAAATTATTCTTACAACAGAAATTTTTGCAAAACCACAATATCAACCACCTAAATTTGTAGACTTTTTGTATACATTTAGCAATTAAATTATTAATATTGCTCTCAATACATAAGTGACTCAGATGTCATTTTTTAAAAATACCAAATAATACTATTATACCTATAAAAAGACCACTATTTCAGTTACCTAAAATAGTGGGTAAGTATTCCAGAACATGAGCAATATTGTAATACTAAAATTTGATATTGCAATTACTACACTGCCTGCCATGCTCTATCCCTCATCTCTCCTTTCTCTGGTAAACTCTTTGTCATTCTTCAGGATTCCATAGAAATATTGCCTCCTGAAACCTTCCCTGACCATGCCCAATACTTCCAGGTAAAGTTGACCTATCTCTCCTCTAAGCGATCTCATACTTAATCACACCATATAGTGATTACTTATTTACATATCTGTTTTCTGCTAAACTGTGAACTTGTCCAAGGCTGAATTCATTCATCTTTCTATAACCTGAGCCCTCAGCACAAGGCCTGCTGTTCCTCCACCCTTAATAAATGTTTGATTTTATGTGGAGAGAAATTTTTAAACAGTAATTCATTCTGGTCATGCCTGCTTGAGTACAGTCAGGTTTAGTGACAAAAGCCTGGCCAGAACCAGAGGAAGTTCCACAATCAATAAACAACAAACTACAGAGATCTGTCTTTGGCTCAATAAGAAAACAAGGCATTTCCCAAAAGACCAGAAGTCAGGAGGATGTAACCACAAAAGACCTCAATAGCCAAAGCAACCTTATTTAAAAAAAAAAAAAAAAGCAAACCTAGATGCATCACAGTTCTGGACTTCAGGTTATATTATAAAGCTGTAGTGATTCAAAACAATATGGCAGTGACACAAAAATAGACACATAGATCCATGGAACCGAATAGAAAGCCCAGAAATGAACCCATAACAGTAGCCAAATTCAAAATGGATAAAAGATCTAAATGTGAGATAGGAAACCATCAAAATCCTAGAGGAGAAGACAGGCAGTAACCTCTTCAATATCAGCTGCAGCAACTTCTTTCTAGTTGTTGTCTCTGGAGACAAGGAAAGCAAAAGCAAAAATAAACTATTGGGCTTCATCAAAATAAAAAGTCTGCACAGGGAAAAAAACAATCAACAAAACTAAAAGGCAACCTATGGAATGGGGGAAGATATTTGCTAATGACATATCTGATAAAGGGTTAGTATCCAAAATATATACACAAACTGGTGTAGCTGCTCTGGAAAGCAGTATGGAGGTTCTTCAAAAAGTTAAAAATAGTACTACCCTAGGATCCAGCAATTGCACTACTAGGTATTTATCCAAAAAATACTAAAATGCTAATTCTAAGTGATACATGCACCCCAATGTTTATAGCAGCATTATCTACAATAGCCAAACTATAGAAATAGCCCAAGTGTCCACTGACTGATGAACACGTAAAGAAGATGTGGTATGTATGTATGTATATGTGTACATACATACACAATGAAATATTACTCAGCCATCAAAAATAATGAAGTCTTGCCATTTGCAATGACATGGGTGGAATTAGGGAGTATTACACGAAGTGAAATAAGTCAGTTAGAAAAAGATAAATACTATATGACTTCATTCATATGTGGAATTTTAAAAACAAAACAAACTAACAAAGGGGAGAGAAAAAGAGAGAGGGAGGCAAACCAAGAAGGAGAGAACAAACTGATGGTTACCAGAGTGGGGTGGAATGGGTGAAATAGGTGAAATGGGTGATGGGGATTAGGGAGTGCACTTGCTGAGATGAGTACTGGGTGATGTAGGAAAGTGTTGAATCATTATACTTCACATCTGAAACTAATATTACACTGCATGTTAACTAACTGGAATTTAAATAAAAACTTAAAAAAAATAACTAGCTTCCTAGTTCTTTCCTTAGATGAAACTTATTATCACAGAGACAACTGGGGGGCCCATCTCTGTTCGTATAGATGCTAGTGTGGATACTTTCCAGTTCTAAGAACATGGCATCTATTATGATCCAAACTGCAGCAATGAAGATCTGGATCATGATGTTCCAGTGGTTGGCTATGGCTTTAAAGAAGCAAAATTGGATAACAATAAATGTTGGATTATCAAGAACAGCTAGGGTACAGACTAGGGCATGGATGGCTACAAAATGATGGCCAAAGACCAGGATAACCACTGTGGAACTGCCTCTGTGGTCAGTTTTCCTATTGTGTGAGATGATGGTGATAAAGAAGCCCTTGATTAGGAAGAGGATAGGCCAAAGAAGAATTTTATCTTAACACGGAGCAGATTTTATTGTGTGGGATAAAGCAGTTGAGCCACTGAAGATTCAAGTGTGATTTGATTCTGTGACATTTTACATTGGCAAATGTTCCTCTCTCTCTCTCTCTCATTAGCACTGTAAACAGCTTTGTATGAATTTGTCTGTTAACTTGTGAATGTTCATGCTTGAAAACAATGTATGAAATCAGCAAAACTAAAAGGCAACGATGGGATGGGAGAAGATATTTGCAAATGACATATCAGATACAGGGTTAATATCCAAAATCTGTAAAGAGTTTATCAAACTCAACATCCAAAAAACAAATAATCCAGGGAACAAATGGGCAAAAGACATGAACAGGCACTTCTCCAAAGAAGACATCCAGATGGCCGACAGACACATAAGATGCTCCACATCACTCATCATCAGGGAAATACAAATCAAGACCACAATGAGATATCACCTCACGCCCATCAGAATGGCTAAAATTAACAACTCAGGCAACACAGATGTTGGCGAGAATGCGGACAAAGAGGGACCCTTTTGTGCTGCTGGTGAGAATGCAGACTGGTGCAGCCACTCTGGAAAATAGTATGAAGGTTCCTGAAAAAATTAAAAATAGAACTATCCTATGATCCATCAATTGCACTACTAGGTATTTATCCAAAAGATGCAGATGTGCTGTTTCAAAGGGGCACATGCACCCCTAACGTTTATAGGAGTGCTATTGACAATAGCCAAAGTATAGAAAGAGCCCAAATGTCCATCAACTGATGAATGGATAGAGATGTGGTATATATGTACAATGGAATATTACTCAGCAATCATAAAGATGAATCTTGGCATTTGCAACATGGATGGAACTAGAGTATATTATGGTAAGCGAAATTAGTCAGAGAAAGACAAATATATAACTTCACTACAAATCAACAAGAGAGAATTTAGCAGAAGTTAGACAGCCTGTGTTTGTGGTTAACAGCTTGGGTAACATATGTTTCAATGTACCCAAAACCAACTTTGGTTTTGTTCATTCTCTCTACTGTTTCTTTATTTTCAGTGTCATTACTTCTACTTTTTCCTACTTGTCTACTTTCTTTGGATTATTATTCAGTTGTTCTTTTATTCTAACTCTTTGAGTGAAATGCCTTGCTTATGGTTTTAATGTTTCTTATATTCTATTACATGTATTAAACCAGAATTTAAATTTTAGTTTTATTCCACAGGTTCTGACATTGAGTGATCCTCTTGTCACCTAAATATTTCATGATTTCTAGTATATCTTCTATAACCAATGTATAATTTAAAGAGTGCTTTTGTTTCCAAAATTACAAGGGATTTTCAGTTATCTTCTTGTTACTGCTTTCTAATCTCATTTGTGATTAGAGAACAGAGCACGCTGTAGATTCTTTGATATTTGTTGATACTTTATTTATGGACTTAATTGTGATCAATTTTTTAAAATGTTCCATGGGAGCATTAAGAAAATACATATTCATGGGGTGCCTGGGTGGCTCAGTCAGTTAAGTGTCTGACTTCAGCTCAGATCATGATCTCACACTTTGTGAGTTCGAGCCCCATATATCAGGCTCTGTGCTGACAGCTCAGAGCCTGGAGTCTGCTTCGGATTCTGTGTCTCCGTCTCTCTGCCCCTCCTCCTCTCACATTGTCTGTCTGTCTGTCTCTCTCTCTCTCTCTCAAAAATAAATAAATATTTTTTAAAATTTGGCAGGGGGACACCTGGGTGGCTCAATTGGTTAAGTGTCTGACTTTGGCTCAGGTCATGATCTCGTAGTTCAGGAGTTTGAGCCCCGTGTCAGTCTCTGTGCTGACAGTTTGGAGCTTAGAGCCTGCTTCAGATTCTGTGACTCCCTCTCTCTGCCCATCCCCTGCTCACACTCTGTCTCTCTATCTCTCTCAAAATAAATATTTTTTAAAAATTTTTAATGTTTTTAAATGCATATTCCCTATTTGCTGGAAGTCATTGCTATTTTTAATATTCTTCAATGACCATATTTGCAATCTGAAAAAAAAGTGACTGAATAAAAAGAGCTAATTAGATCATGACTACAAAACTAAAAAATCTTCAAAGGTGTGGTAATATTACTAAGCACCTACTATATATCAACTTAGTATTGCCAACTACTGTGATATTTATATTTACTACCTTTTTTAATCCACACAACATCCTACAAGAAGAATACAATTATTATCCCCGTTTTGCAGATGAAGAAACAGAAGCACAAAAAGAACAGGTAACTTGCTCAAATCACACTGCTAATTAAGAGTGAAGTCTTTGTACTTAACTACTATGCTATATCATCATGTATACACATACCCATATATTTATATGCATATATATGTATGTAAAATATAAGCTGGCACATCAAATTTATTCAACTTTAAATATATATGGTACAGGGCATCTTTAGGTAGTCATAAGTAATACTGATGAGAGAAAAAAGACAAAATACCTCTGGTGGTTTTTTCGTTTAGATTCACACCATATTTTGCCAAAGCTCTAATCACATCACTTTGCCCAGCCATGCAAGCTGCATACAACAAATTTCTCCCAATGATGTCTTCTTCCAAGAGTAGCTGCATGGCCTGTTCATGATGGGGGTTCTCAGGATCTTCAAAAATCTTCTTCAGACCTTCTACATCCCCTGTGAGAGCAGGTGGTAAGAGAGGATTAAGGGTGCCTGTTCCCTCTGGCTCTTTCGCTTCTCCTTCATCATCACCGTCATCTTCTGCTTCATCTTCTTCTTGCTGTGAGAAAAATATTGATCTTTCTGAACTCTCTGACTCTGGAGGTTCGTCTGGCTCCATGAACTCCAAAAATACCTGAGGCAAAAAAAAAAAAAAGCTAATACAAATCCTCACAGATCAATATTTGTTTCTTTCTTTCTTTAGTCAACTGATAATATAGATAGGATGAAAGCACTTAATTGGCTGAAAATAATTATAACAGTAAATTTAACAGGAACAGAAGAAGAAAGAGATCAACATGGGCTAGATTCATATGGAAAATTATATATACTATATACAATATAATATATTAAATAATATATATGTATTTAGACAGGACACCCACTTCCTGGTCTAAATTAGCTGTGCAAGCTAATGGCTGTGTACATGCTTGCATCCAGTGAGAAGGAATTACGCTTTCCCAGATGTTTCATACTACATCACTACTTACATCTTACTTACTTACATATATACAATGGAGTATTACTCATCAATCAAAAAGAGTGAAATCTTGCCATTTGCAACTAGGTGAATGGAACTAGTGTACTGTGCTAAGTGAAATTAATCAGAGAAAGACAAATATCATGACTTCACTCATATATGGACTTTAAGATACAAAGCAGATGAACATAGGAAGGGGAAGCAAGGGCAGAGAGAGAGGGAGACACAAAATCTGAAGCAGGCTCCAGGCTCTGAGCTGTCAGCACCCGACGTGGGGCTTGAACTCACAAACTGGGAGAACATGACCTGAGCTGAAGTCAGACACTCAACCAACTGAGCTACCCAGGTGCCCCTAGTATATATAACTTTTATTTGTATTATATAGTATATATTAGTTTATGATATCTTGTTTAAATTTTCCATATGTAAATATATACGTTTATTTCCATATATAATATATATATTATACATATATACATATGTTACATGTATATTATATATATATATAACTTCTATTAATAACTTATTATTCAGTAGTAATGGATACTTTGTCCTGGGAACATTGGATTATAAGGGTGTTCTTGTATATATGTTATTAACCAAAATACTATTTATCCTTACTACATGTAATATACTGATGTCTTATTTCCCTTATAGTTTTTAAGGCTGGGTGTCACCCGCCAAATTGATTTCATGACCCACTAATGGGGTACAAGCTGCACTGTGAAAAAGCATTAGTTTTGAATAACCTCTACGGAACTATACTAGGAAATCAACAAGAGAGAATTTAGCAGAAGTTAGACAGCATGTGTCTGCGGTTAATAGCTTGGGTGACATATGTTTCAATGTACCCAGGGCAGTTCCAGCTCCATCTGTTCTCCTGCTGTAATTTTTAATAGCATCCTCTATTACTGTCAAAGGTATCTATTCCTCTTACACAATAAGTTGTTCTGTCACCCTATTAATAACATTGTGATCTTCTGGAACATATCTGCTATAGATATCCAGATTCAAACCTTAGAGAACAGAGGCGAAATGTGTTTAAAACACCTTTCCTCACTGGCCTAGTAGGGGCCCAGATATGAGACCTTGAAGATACTGAGAAAATCCTATTTATAGCTCTATTCCTGCTACTAGGCCTATAATACTTTATTTTTTTCTCCTCCATTCCTACTAGCCAAATCCTATTTAGGGCAAGGTATAAACCTGCTTTCTTCCTTAAACTTTCCTTGAGTCCTTTCTAGAATGCACAGGGGTCTCTGCCTCCTCTGACCTTCAAAGGCCATTATATATTTAGTCTGTACCCTACAACTTACCAAATATTGTATTATATTATTTTGTTTGTTTCAAGTATAGAAGAGATCTACTTAATTAGGCTATAAACTGAGTAGGTACAAGAATCGAGCCTTATATTTCTCTTGTGTCACTTTTAGACTTGTCACAATTCTTGACATGTATGTGTGCAATGACTCTTAACGTCAAGCTTGCAATTCTCATTGCTTTTCTTCACAGTCAACAACAATGGGTTTTGGAGTCAGAAAGACTTAAGCTCACAATCCACTCCTGCAATTTATTAGCTGCATAATACTGGGTGATTTACCTAAACTCTTGTAGGAATAACACCAGACCTGGTTTATATGATTGTTCTGTTAGAATATATTAGATGATGCATATGCCAAGCACGTGGTGAGTATTCAGTTAGCAAAACTTATCATCATCATGATATCACCATTCCCCCAGCAAAAGCATTCACAAAGCAAAAACAAAGATGGTAATGCTATTATTTCTTCTTTTTCATTAATACACAGTTGTCCTATGTAAGGTGTGAGTAAATGGGGCTACTCTACCACCACCAAACACTTGATTATAGACAGATTATTCTGCATCTAGAGATCAGTCTGGTCTCAAGTTAATTCAGAGATTTGTACATAAACTGGATCAAATCTGGAAATATGATTCAGGCCAGAATATTCAAAGCTTCGCTTGATAAACCCTTGAATGGAGCTTAATTTCCAAGTCAGCCCACAATAAACATGATTAAGGGAACAGTTCTCAAATTCCTTTACACTCTTAAAAATGAAGAACTCCCCAAATTTTTATGTGGGTTATATCTACCAATATTTACCATATTAGAAACTAAAACTTAAGAAATCTTTAAAATATTTATTATTAGTTCACCTTAAAACAATTATGTGTTAACATACAAAATATGGCTTATGGAAAATAAGTATATTTAACAAGGAAAAGTTAATGAGAAGAGTGGTATTATTTTATATTTTTGCAAATCTCTTTAATGTCTGGCTTAATAGAAAAGCCACGGGTTCAAATGTCTGCTTCTACATTCTCTGTCATAACATGTGATGTTGTGATATCACAGGTCATGTAGCCTCCAGAAAACCACTGTAATGTGAGTGAACAAGTAATGTGAAGAATTCATATGAAGATAGCTTTACTGGTAATATCCCTGAAAAACGTCTTAAGGATCCCCAGGGAATCCTGACCATACTTTGAGAACCAGTGGACTAGGCCTAAGTCCTAGGACTTAAGCCACTCTGGTCTATAGTCAAACCCTCAAGATTATTCTAGTCTAAATCTAGACTAAACTGAGATCAGCCTTTCTGAAATAAAAGGATGAAGTGAAGTCTTCCAGGGCTTTTGAAAGACATCTAATCAGGAGCATAAAAGTAAACTCTCCTGTCATACATTTGTCTATTGATGATTGTGTCCATCATATTGTCTTTTGAAGACAGAGCAAAGAATTCTATTTTTTTTAATGTTTTATCTATTTCTGAGAGAGAGAGAGAGAGAGAGCGTGAGCAGGGAAGGGTCAGAGAGAGAGGGAGATACAGAACCTGAAACAGGCTCCAGGCTCTGAGCTAGCTATCAGCACAGACGTGGGGCTGACGTGGGGCTCGAACCCACGAACCGTGAGATCATGACCTAAGCCAAAGTCTAATGCTTAACCGACTGAGCCACCCAGGCACCCCAAGAATTCTATTTTTTATGATTTTTTTCTTCTTATAACATTGAAGTCTTATTAATATAAGTACTAATAGCATGATCACAATAATATAGCTTTTCCTTTCTTCCTTTTATCAATATTCTATATATTGAAATATTTAACTCCACTTCCTCACTAATATTTTTGTTTTAGAAAATACTTATTTTTCATGAGAAATATGTAATTTAGATCTAATATAATGGGTTTATATTTTTTTATTGTTAAAAGAATTGATAAACATATTTTTAATTCTGTTTTAATTTCTAATCTTTTTATATTTTCAATGCTTACTGCAGGGCTAGATATAACCCACATAAAGGAAAGCTCTTTGGAATCATCTTAATTTTTTAAGATGAAATGACTTCAGTTGACTTATGACAAATAGTCTCACAAAGAATGATGGACCCCTCTCTTGATGTATTATGGAATTTATAAGGAGTTACTCAACGATTACCTGTAGACTAAAAATATGTTATGGACATTGACAAATTTTCAGGGCCTTTTAATTCATACTGTAATGTGAATGTTATAATTTTTTTAAATTCACATACAAGTTAGTTAGCATATAGTACAATAATGATTTCAGGAGATTCCTTAAGCCCCTTAACCATTTATACCATCAACCCCTCCCACAACCCCTCCCGGAACCCTTTGTTTGTTCTCCATATTTTGTCTCTATGTTTTGTCCCCCTCCCTGTTTTTACATTATTTTGCTTCCTTCCCTTATGTTCATCTGTTTTGTATTTTAAAGTCTCATATGAGTGAACTCATATGATATTTGTCTTTCTCTGACTAATTTCGCTTAGCACAATACCCTCTGGTTCTGTCCATGTAGTTGCAAATGGCGAGATTTCATTCTTTTTGATTGCCAAGTAATACTCCATTGTATATATTTTTACCATATTTTCTTCATTCATCCATCAGTGGACATTTGGGTTCATTCCATACTTTGGCTATTTTTCATAGTGCTGCTATAAACACTGGGATGCATGTGCACCTTCAAAACAGCATACCTGTATCCTATGGATAAATACCTAGTAGTACAATTGCTAGGTCATAGGGTAGTTCAATTTTAATTTTTTGAGGAACCTCCATACTGTTTTCCAGAGTGGCTGCACCAGTTTGCATTCACATGGAATCAATGTATTTTTTTTTAAAGTTCATTCATTTATTTTGAGAGATAGAGAACACGGAGGAGGTGTAGAGAGGGAGCGAGAGAGAATCCCAAGCACAAGGTTTCTCTGCACAGTCAGCACAGAGGCCCTAAGCAGGCCTCCGTCACACTAACCATATCATGACTTGAGCAGAAATCAAGGGTCAGACACTCAACCGACTAAGCCATCCAAGCATCCCAGGATCAGTAATTATTTTAAAAGTAAGGGGCACCTCATTTCTGTGAGTCAGAGGTACCCTGCTTTAGTCTTTATTTTGGCATTTATTAATTACGTGACTTTTCTCAACTCCCTCTCCTTATTTGTGAAATGAGAATAGCACCTGCTCTGCTTTACTTAATTAGCGCTGGGAAACAAGTCTATAACTCTTCCTTTTAACTATAAAGTGTGAACTCTTTTCAGGCTGCTAAGGCACGAATAATAGAAAACCACGTAGGCCATGGTCTCACCCAATAGGCCATTCCCAGGAAGCCACAAGTAAGTAAACAGCTTAGAGTGAGATAAGGGATATAATGGAGATAAACAGAGCTTTGAGGGTAAAGAGGCTGGACAGCTAAATTACACTCGGGAGAGTCACGAGGTTCAAAAAAGGTTTCCCAGAAGTGGTGACCCCTCACCATGGAAGAGTAGGAGTCTCAAAATGAGGAGAAAAGGGCAAACCAGGGAAGAAGAAGCATAAACAAAGGGCAAGGAGTCACATAAGCTTGAGTTATGACAGATGAATAGATCTTAAGGGCTTTTAAGCTACTTGAATTTTTTCCTCAAAAAACGTGGTCCCTCCAGAATTTTAAGTCCCAGCTCAAGGAGAAGACCCCAAAGGGCAGCCCTGGGCCCCGGGGGTTAAACAAAGGAAGGCCTGAAGAAGAGGAAACAGAGTGGCGGCCACACGGCGCGTCGCAGGAGGTCCGGCGGGGCGGGCGCCAGTCACTTCTGGACACCTGAGTTCGCTTCCGGCCTGAATCACTGAGGGACTCACCGAGATCCCCGAGGCTGTCCGCGGGGCGAGGGCCGCTAGGGAACGCCCTGGCAGAGGCAAACCCTAAGGACGCCGCGGCTGAAGCCCCCTCCCCTCCCGCTCCTGCCTCAGCTGCAGTACGCAGAGACGCCCATTCGTCGCCCGGTTCCCACCCCGAGCGCCCACCGGGGCCCTCCGCGCGGGACCCCGACTCACCGCTCCCCAGGTCCCTGGCTTCCGCGGTTACCATGGCGACGGCGCACCCGTGCGCGGTAGCGCCGCCCCGCGCGCTGCGGTTCCGGGGGCGCGGCGACGGTCAAGGTCGCAGGTGGCTTGTGGTGAGAGCGGGGTAGAAAACCGGTAGGAATTCATGCAAGTGAGGTAAATGCTACTTTCGGACGGTGGCGTGTGGCTTTTTCTTTATTTGCTAAAATTTTCTATAATATGGTCTATATTTATTTTACAACTTAAAAAAATAAAATTTAAAAATAAGGCGTGCACATTGTTTGCCTGGGCGCGTCTTACATCTTCTGTTTGGCCTTTGAACTGCAGAATTTATAAAAAATATGAGGATGCTTTCTGAAAACTACGAAAGATCTTAATTATAACGGAAGACTTGCTTAATTTTCCAGTCGTGGGGGGTGGTCTCTGTCTTATGGTTTGAGGTCATTGTCACATTGACTTTCCTGAGAACTCACAATTGCCAAGTATGTGTATGAGGACCTTGGAAAATTATGTATCATTTGGTTGAGGAATTTAAGATCCAAAACAGACAACTTTTTAAAAGCAGATATGAGAAGAGCTGGAACAGGGGCATCAAAAGAAGCCAGCAGAGAAGGGCCAAGCTTACCCAGAAACTGTAAATGTCCATATTAATCACAGAGCGAAGACCTCAAAGTCTCGGTATTGACGACGACTAGTGAAGAAAAACATTTGGTTCTTTACTATTTTTACCAGAAAATCATTAAGGAGGAGATAATATTTTAGAGGAGCTCAGAACATTTGAGCTGAAGGCTAAATAGCCTATTTTAAAATAAATATTTGACCTAAGACCCAGGCAAACTATCGCTATTATAGACCTGAACTCCTGGAATAAAGAATAAACTTGAAAAAATGTTTAACTATTAAGTATTGACTTTTTCTTATTCAAAGTAGTTATAATAGTTAAAATATTAAAGTTCAACATTATAGACAGGAACAATAGTCTAGAAGCTTTGTCATCTGCTTGCTGGCTCCTGCCATCACTATGCAGCACATTTGCTCTACTTAAGCATTCATTTCCTTCTGAAGTTGTTGGAGAAACAAGACCTATTTAGGTACACAGTATGTTATATGTATATACTATGTTTTTCATAGTCTGGTTGGAAGGTTTTTTGGTTGGAGTTTTTTTAAATATCTGGATGGAAGATAACTTCTGATGAATGATCGTGCATGCTTCTGTTTTTAATTAATCTTCATTGGGTGTGAAGAATTCCCAAATACGACTGTTGATGTAAAGTCTTAAATGGATTTAGATACTGAATGGAAGTCTTAAAGATTATTTTAGTGCTCTGAATGCTAGAAAGGATGGAAAGACTCTAAGTAGGTCTGGGAAACCTAATAACAAAGGGTCTTGTTCTCTACTTAACTCCATGTCAGAAAACAACTGCATGATTCATTTAGGCAAACCAGGTTAGAAACAGTCTTATGAAGGATACAGATACAGCAGAAAAATTTCCATGATCCCCTCTGACTCCTATCCCCAGCCCCCCAGGTTCAGCATAAGCATATTAAAAAGAGCCATTGGTCTGAAGGGGCTAAATGGATGTGCAAGAGACAAATCTTAGCAACAATCTGTGGGTGCTAACAATGGAAGTGTAGCTAAGACAGTGAAGTTCTGGTGTACAAAAGGCTGAAGGAGAAGAGGAGTTAAGCAGTATTCAAGCCCCCTGGAAATTAGGTCAGCTCCAGAAAATTATAGTAGGGAGAGAGGTTTCCAAAATGATTAAAATTAGTTTTTTTCTGCCCTAAGAGAATGGGCGTCCTGAATAGAAATTGTGCTAATTCTTATTGTATTTCTTGAATTCCACAGTTTATAGATTAGGAATCATGTTCTTTATACAATGTTAATTTCTGATGAAATGCCAGGATAGAATAACTACTTGAAAATTACTCCAAGGTAACTTAATGTGCTGTATTAATAATTATATTTTATTGATTGATGGCATATCCCATGCTAAGTACTATGCTAAGTGATTCATATACATCATCACTAATTCCTATAGCAACTCTTAGGTGATATTTTTGTTCTTGAAACTGACACTCAGCAAAGTTGAGTCACCTACCTAAAACAATACAGCTAGGAAAGGGCTGAACCAGGATTTGAACGTAGGGCAGCCTGGTTTAAATCACCACAGGATTGCCACTGGTTAGCTATAAACTAATTGAATATTAGAGGATGCCTGTCCAAAATGGTAATTTGATTTTAAAATTATCTATTTTGAGCCATTATTTGCCCATAATTAGATACTAATGCCATTCCTGGAGTGTAACTGAAGAACTACTTCTGCATATCACTCATCTCCACAGTTGAGAAGTAGAACATCCATTGTTTTTGCCTGTTCAGCCTTCCACCTCTGGTTATAGCGCTGATTTTCTAGAAGGGAACTCCCTTGGTACACTCTCTGGCCATGTGGTTGGGGGTACTAACCCCACTGCAGATTGAGTCCTGACCAAGCAGTGTTTCTTACATTCCTGGTTATAATGATCTGGTCAGGAAAAAAAACATAGAACACAAATCATTGCAATCAAGCTAATCCTGAATTTTTGCCAGAGCTGTAAGTAAATAAGCATTCTTTTTTTTTTTTTTTCAGCAGGGGTTGATGAGGTCATCCTGAGTTGCCACTGGCCATCTTGCCATCATGTGGGGAGAGTTTGACAGAGCAATGGAGGAGCCAAGGAGTGAACAAGAGATTGGAACCTGATGCCATCACTTGAGCCCTGGTGGTAGATGTTCCTGAAGCCATTTTTTATTTTCTTTTTTTAGTTATTACAGTCAACTACTTTTTTCAGAGTCATCCAAAAAGGATTATATTTCTATTACTTGTAACATCAGTGCCCCATAATGTGGAAGGGGGAAAATATAGTATGGCTTTATTTTAGAAACACCCCATCCCTTGGGGTAAATACAAGAAATTTGAGAAGGATAAAATTGCAGTTAGGTGTTTCACTTATGGATGAATATTATTGGATAGAGGATCAATGTTAACCTGGAGGCAGGTTTCTAGCAGGATGCTCTGGTGTTCTACCACCCTCTCCATCTCAACATCTTTGTGTCAGTGACTTAACTATAGCCCTATAAGGCATACTTATGAGATGACCCAAGGCTCAGAATGGCAAGTAATATGATAAAGATGGCAGAATAAAAATCTAAAATCAAAAGATAAACAGAAATTTAAAAGGCAAAGGAGTAGGAAAAGGCATTCCAAAAGAAATTTCTAAAGAGTCACGGAGCCACAAAATAAATAGCAAAATAAATTCATAAGTGATTGAAACAGGCAGAGAATGTGTGGTTGGGAGAGAGGTGAGAGATGGAGCTAAAGGGGTCGGAAGAGGTCAGATGGCAATGCGGAGAACAGTTTGGAGGAAGACAAGACACAAAGAGAAGCCAGGAATGACTCCCAAGTTTCTCCTTTGGGTGACCAGATGTCTAGGGGTCTTCTAATTTAGAGGTATTTTGATGTTTCTAGGGTTAGAATCAGGGTGAAGTGTTCAGTCTTAGACAAGCAGAGACAAGTGTTATGTCTCTAACCAACATACATTTGTATCTAAAGCTCAATAGATAAGACTGGGATATAAATTTGGGAGTCATTGGCATATAAATGTTACCTAAAACCTTCAAAGAGGATAGAATCATCCCAGGTGAGTGAATAGAAGAATAGAGGGCTCAGGGCAAGCCCTGGGACAGCTACATTGAGTAGAAACAGGAAGATAGGGAGAGAATGATCAGAGAATGAACAGACCCAGGTGAGTGTGGCAACACAGAAGCCAAGGAAATCATTTCAAAAAAGACTGAAGAAATGACAATGGAATTTGGCAGTTAGGGATAACCTTGATGGGATCAGTTTTAGTGAATGGTATTAGGCAAAATCAAGATTGCAGGGGACTGAAGAGTGAATGAGGGAGATCAGGAAGTAGAACCACTATGAATAGAATATTCTAGCTTTGAAGGAGGTAGAATAAAAAGCTTTTTAAGAAAACTAATTGCAGGAAATATCTTTATTTTTAATGTAAGATAATTTTGGTATTTGTCAGATATAACATCAGGGTAATTGATGTCACAACTATATTTGGAAACAAAGTGGTGGCAATGACTATCTGCTATTCTTTTGAGAAGTTTGAAAAAGATGTAGAGGGAAGAAATTGCTCAGAAGTTAAAGGAATACAAAGTATCAAAGGTGATGTCACCGCAGGGAGAGGATCACAGGAAGCCTAAGTGTATCTATAGTGTGACAGCAAGGAACTAGTAGAAAGAACATTAGGGGAAGAGGTGGCTGATGAAGTAAGATCCTAAAAGAAATTGGAGGGTAAAGGGCTAAAGGATCTATGGAATTATGACCTCAAATAGGAAGAACTTCAATAGCTTTTCTAATTTTTTAAAAGGCAGAATGGTTTCATTTATTTTTAAAAGTTCACAAAACTTGTAAATTTAAACTATAGTATTTACTGCATATTTAGGGGTTAAAATAAAAAGTAAAGCACTGATGTGGCTTTTAAATGTTTTAAATGTTTATTTATTTATTTTGAGAGAGACAGAGAAATAGAGTGGAAGCCAGGGAAGGGTAGAGAGAGAGCCAGGGAGAGAGAAAGAATCCTAAGCAGCCTCTGTGCCTTTAGCACAGAGCCCAGAGCAGAACCTGACACTGAACCCATTGCTGGGCTCCAATTCATGAACCGTGAGATTGTGGCCTGAGCCAAAATCAAGAGTCAGACTGAGCCATCCAGGTGCCCCTAAAACAGTTTTTTTTTTTTTTTTTTAAGTGAAAAAAGTAACAGTGGCTCGGATACGGATCATTTTTCATCCTATAGAATTTATAGTTGAAGAAAACCAAGCTTGATGACCTTGGACTAAGTATGCTTAAACTGAGGGAGGAGAGATGAGGGGGTAGGGGATGAGAATAGCATGAAGATTTGGCATCACAATCAAAAAATTATGGTGGCATTGAGGTGATTGAGATTGGAGACCATGAATTTGAAGTGACCCCAACCTGCACAGTCTAGTGATTTTCTCCAGCAATGCTCAGACACCCAGTTTGGTCTGAAGTTGGTATAACAGAAGGGTAGAGGTACATGTAGATGAAAAGTCCTGGGGAGAAA